TTAAAGAGTCTTCCTTCTAACTTTTATAACTCTTATGACCCCAAAGTACCAAATTTACTTCTGGCCATTTTTAATTTAAAGACATCTCAATGGTTTGGAATTAGTTGTGAATTCACATACATAAAAGAAAGAATTATCTTGTCCCATCTCTGTTGATACTCACTTCTCTTTGGTTTATTACATCCCTAAGTGCTCCTACGAAAACATGAATTTTAATAGGAATCAAACCTCAAATCAATGATCATCTTGACTTGTGAAGAAGACTGCAAGGGGTTTGGAAGCGATAAAGTGACCAGAATGAGAATTAAACCCACCACCAACACAGTACCTGCTACTCCATGTCATCCCCGAATGACTCTGACACTGATTTTCTCCTTGGACACTTGAAACACTGCTACTTTAAACTTTAAGAATACAGCGGTAAGGCAGAATATAGATATTACTTCCATTTCCCTGGTATAGAGCTGACCACTTAAAACTGTTTTTGTTTCTTTGAATAATTTTGGTAATAGTTACAGTAAAAAAGATGGTTAGTTGAAGTAAATATATTTATAGTTTTTGCTTTTCAGGGAAAGTTGTCTTTCCAAATTATAATACTGGAAAAATCTTTATTTTTTAGTATTACTGCATCTAAAGCACTCATAGCAGATTCAGTGCACAGTCCAGATGATCAAAGTTACCATTTAAGCTTACCTAATTTTCAGTATAACCTTATTATTCTGTTCTTCAAAGGGTTTCATCACTTCCATAGATTTTTTGTTGTTGTTCCAGGGACTGAACTTGTGACCATGCACTTGCCAGGCAAGTGCTTGTGCCATTGAGCTAAATCCCTGGCCCTTCACAGATTTTTTTAACTTGGCTTCAAGGCAATAATGAATGGATTAGGTATATTTTTATCCTAAGTTATTCATTCATTCAAGAAATGTTTTTAAGATTATTGAGCTGGGTGTTGGCAAACAGCAGTGAATTAGGGAGAAAGTCTCTACCCTGATGAAAGAAGAGAAACTGAAATACTACTTTTGTCAAAGTAGAAGTTATAACTATTAGCAAAATACACATTATTTTCACTTTCACTTGCAGCTTGTAAAACCTGTCAGTTATTTCTCCAAGATATTGAATTTTCCAGTCAGCTTGGGGTTGCCATTGATTGAAGGTATAATTTATAGAAATCTCTGTTGTGAAGCCATATCTGTGCTGAGAGCTGCCCATATGAAAATGGTCAATACCTCTAACCAATAATAATTTTTTGATTGTCTATGGGAACATATGAATCTTTGACCTCACAAATAGTTACACAATAGGCCCTTATCCCTGTGGAAAAGTGTTTGTTCCTTTGTAACTCAGAGGCCATGTGTTTGCATGTCGGGTTTAATGTTCTGGAAGTCATTTTCTCTAGCACTGGGGTTATTTAATTCCAACGACTGGTTTGAATTTCTTTTAAAACTGTAAGTATATAGGATTACATTTAATTATTGGTTTATGTACAGGAGCATTGCTGCACTGAGCTGCAAGGAGCCCGTTATAAGTGCTCCTTTGTCCTGAGTAAATATTCATTCCGTTGCAGGCTGGATGAGGTCCCATGAGTCTCTGAATTGTGACGTCTAGACAAAGATTTGAAGATAGAGCTGATATCATCTATTAAGCTTTTGCTGTCTGAAGAGTCTTATAAAATAGCTTGAAAATCATGATATAAATCACACAAAAATAATCTCTAAAGCTTGGACACTTCAACCAGATGGCTGGAGTTAGCAATTATGAGTATGTATTTGCTGGCAACACAGTAAGCCCAAAAGGCAGATGTTCCAAGTGCTCCATGTGTCTGTGTTCCAGGGGTGGCCATGACATAGACTAAAGCATCACTGTGCATTGTGTACAGGAGTGTGGGTCACATTCTGGCTCAAATCCCCCTCTAAATGATTGTCTTGAAGTATGCCATGATCTCTCAGGAGGAGATGCTGTTTGAAGCATTAGAGTAGGACTTTTTTTCCAGGATCCTAGTAGCTCTATCTTCTGGGATGTAATGACTTGACAAAAGATCACGCCTGTTACTGTGTTTTCAGTCTTCACTCAATGCATTATTTGGAAGATCATGGTATTCATATTCTATTCATGCAAGATCTGAAAATTTGACAAGTCACTTTCTCAAAACCATGATCTAATCCTCATAAAAACCATATGGATTATATTAAATCTAAAAAAATCTGGGAACATGCTATGGAAGGTAATACTGGTTAGGAACTCTCTCCGGACTACTCCCCAACTTTGCTGATTGTCATAACTGTGAGTATTAGGGATAATAGAAATGATGTCACTAAACTCAATAATAAGATAGTGCCCCGCTTAGCAGAACCTTTAACCACCAGAAGGTATGTCAAGAGTGGCAAGGCACGGCATAGATCAGCAAATATGGGCACTGTATAATGATCGCACTGCAACAACTTTCTAAATACTTTGAGACAGATGGTCTGTGACCTGCAGTGACTTCATTCAGAGCCACAGCCACAGAATCTGGGCCTGTGTCCAGTCACTAAATGGAGTCCTGCAGATCCTGTCATGATCTGCCCCCTGCCACCTTCCCCAGCCTCATGACTTTCTACTCTCCCCAATCCTCTCAATTATCTGAATCTCATACCCTTGTAGCCATTCTTAACTCCTCCCATTTCCTTAGTCACTTTTAGACTTAACATCCAGTGTATGGTACCTAGAATGACACCTTCCAACCTTATCTTGTGCTTCAACCTCTATTGAATACTTATTTATATCAGAACAGTATGCCCTGTTCTGTTCTCCTTTTGTACTGCTTACTATTTTCTCAGAGTCTGTGGACTTCACCTTTAACGACTCACTACATATAATTTAAATAGTTATGGCTAAAGCCGTTGACTTTGACAGAAGTATCTACCTTTCTGTCTGAAAACTACCAGTAACTAGCGTCAACTAGTTACTTGGAACTCTGAGGTGATAAATAAAAGATGATATTGTATTGCAAAATTCACACACACTTTTTGCACCCTTTATCCAGACCTGTGACATATATATTTGCATTTGTGATAGGGGAGTTCTCAGATTTCCTGTCAGCATTCTTTCTAAAGTGCCTAGACCCAGGTGCCCACTCAGTTCCTATAACTGGGTACCTGGGGGAGAGATACCCTACCTGCTCCCCTGTGGTCCTCCATGCTGTTGATCTGCACAGGTCAGATGTTGCTAGCACTGTGCTTGCCCAGGGCTATAGTAACTCTTTTACGTGGCGTAAAATGCAGTTGTTCAGTGTGCTTTTCAGCATGCACACGCGTGTGTGTGTGTGTGTGTGTGTGTGTGTGTGTGTGTGTGTGTATAAATCAAGACTGACACAGTGGCTGAACCTGCATGCCATCTGACCCCAGGATCTCCCTAAGGGGGTTCAATCAGATGTTAGCAATTCAGCTTTTCTAGTGCCATCTACTGTCCTGTCCTGGGCTAAAATGACCAAAAAAAACTCAGTGCTTAATGCAGACATTTGCTTAATAACTTATAAAAAATTGCATTTGGACTGAAACCAGGTCTTCCAAATTTTGGTTCCTAATAAGTAGTTTTTAGACATTTAAAAATATGGATATGTAATAAAATGCTGAGAGCCTCTCTGGAGATTGCTACAGCTGGCACTTTTGTAATAGAAAGCATACACCATTGAGCTAACATTTTGTTCTTTGACTGAAGAAGAAAACAAAGCTGTTAAAAGCTGGTAGGCTCATTTTCCAATAGCAATAGCATTAATATCTTTCAAGTCACTCCTAACCACGGCTAATTAGAGGTTTATGAGGGATGGCCGTCCTGGAGGGTCACCCCAGGTTATGTAGCCCACAGAGTTGCTGTTGACAATGGGTTTGCTAAGAATTCCTGTTCAGCTAAGATGATTATCTTTTTTTTTTTTTCTTTTGCTGGTGTGTCTCTTATTTTGACTGGCTGAAGTTGGATTAAACCATGAGGCCAAGATTCAAAGACAGTGCCAGGTTGTTGCTGGAGATCTGCACCAACAGATTGTTGAAAACTTATTAGTCTGACGTTTTAACAGCCTGCAATAGGATGGAAATCTTCTCTTTCACTGGAAAAGCTTAGGAAGGAAAACATGAGCTTGAGCTGAAATCAGCCCCAGTTCCAAATCTGCCGTCCTCTGGCACCAGAGTGCTGAGGGCTGCCGCAGTGTTTAGAGATTAAATCCTGACTGTGCCACCCACGTGGTAGACAGGGCTGCATTAAAAAATGTGAATGCTGGCCACTGTAAAGAGGAGACTCTGAAAATGCATCTTCCAGAGCAGAAAAACTGTTCTGTGCTCAACACCAGGTGCTAATGGCTTCGGCAATAGCAGAAGTCAGCCTCCCATGAGGTTTCTGCTGGGTGTCTGGGGAATTCTCTGGGTCATAGCCATTGTATGGAATAATTCCAGAAAAAGGAATAAGACCACCTCAGCCTTGGTGCTCTCTTTGGGGTAGAAATGGGCTCAAAGATTGCAGCTGATACTATTGATAAGAGATACCTTGTGCCATTAAATTGTTATTTATTACAATGCTAAAAGTATTCTTAAGCATCCCGCTCTTCAAATACAAACCAGCCCTCAGTACCCTAACCTTAGATCATTACTGGCCCCTGTTTTCCTCCAGTTTGGCCTGTGACTACCAGTTTGATTAAGCCCTCTGCTTTCCCACCACAGTATTGTTCTTGTCCTTGGTGGCTACTTGTGAGATCTCAATAGGACTTTGCACCCCCAGGCTCTTCTACCTGGAGGGTCTTTGTCTTTTGCCCAAGAACCCTTTCCTATTTCACAGGCTTTCTGGATACCTTCTCTGATAACTCCAGCCAGGGGTGGCTACCCACCTTTGAAAGTGCCCACAGCCTTTTATTTTTATTCTAATTTCAGACTAGACTCTAAACATCTCTTGAGGACAGGAGCTATCCTGACTCTCGTTTGAGCTCATGCCCACACTCATAGTAAAGTGCCTGCACAAATTCAGCACTCAAAAGGCCCTTTGGAATATCCATTTATTCTTTCACTTATTTGGCAGACACTTAATGGGGTCCCAAACTTCCAGATTCTGCTAAATTTTGGTGAGTTCATGCTCAACAGAAACTGGTTTTGATACTCCATAGAGCTGAGCCACGTTCTCTCCAGCTCTATCTTGGAGGAATCAGGCTTTGGTGAGTATCTTTGAGTTCTCTGCTTAGGGAAATTGTGATACAGAAAGTTATCCAATTTTGAAATGTGCTCTCAATATCAAGTTTCACCCTTTATCGCCCTATGACAATTGCACACGAAATTGCTACAATTATGGTATCACTGCTTAGCATGTAAACATAAATGTTCAAGGAAAAACCCATCACTTGGCACACTAACCTGGATAATTTCAGTATATGCCACAGAATTACAGTAAGGAATTCATCATTCATTCATTTAATAAACATTGGGAGTGCCCATTATATATTAGTCATTGTTCTAGACACTTAGGGATTCAGTGGTGAGCACTGAGGCAGATGCAATATGAATTAATGCACCAGCGTGGAGGCATTTGCCTCCTGTACTCAGAACTGCACTTGAGAAGTTCACATAAGGCACAGCCAATTTGCAGAACCAGAGTTCTTAGAGATGGAGTAAGAGAGGAAATGATGGCAGTCTTTGCTGGAGCTTTGTCTGTTCTGGTTGTCTTTGTCGTTTCCAGGACAGATGAGAGTTATTTCACTTTCCACCAAAGTCCACAATGTCACAACATTCTGACCATGGTTGTTTTTTTCACCTCAGAAGACTTTGTTTTGATGCTTTTTTCCAAAAAAAAAAAAAAAAAAAGAGTCTAGTTAGTATGTCAGAAGTTCTTTCTCTCATTTTATTTTATTTTATTTTTGTGGTACCAGGGATCAAACTCACAACCTCGCACTTGCCAAGCAGGCACTTATACCACTGAACTAAAAATCCCCAGTCCTCTCCTTTTGATTTAATGAACTCTCAAATACAGTCTAGAGATGTCAGTTTTTTCTGCATTTCTATGATAGTGTCCAATAGTTAGTCATCAATTTGGAGGATGTCAAGAGACAGTTGAACTAATAACTTTCTAATCCCTGGATCACCATCATATGCTGTGTTCTTGAAACCAACAATTCAGTGATGCGCCCTGGTTGTCCAGTTTCCCATCTTGGCCCGTCTTCCTGGTGAACTCACAGCTTTGAGAGGCAGTTTTGCAGAGTTGCTCTTAGAGTCATTTATACAAGTCCCTCCTGTTGCTTGAACCTCCATTATACTGTAAGCAACTAATTATCTTTTTAAAATTCCTTTCATTTAAAAAAAAACATAAATAGAGGAAGGAAATAACAAAGAATCATAACCTATTAATTACCCTCTGATAAAATTCAATATTATCTAGTTCCAAGCAAGTATTGTTGTTCCATCTGACAATGAGTCAAACTCCCAAGTAATAAGAAATTTTATCTTTGATTCTGTTTGATTGCTGTTTTCTCCATTCCAAAGATAGAAGACATTTTCTCTAATGAGTGATGGGAAGCCTGCTGAGAGGCTTGGTGACAGCAAGTATATTAAAAAAATAGAATCAAATTTTAAAATATGCAAAGCTTATTTGAAAAACACTTGCTGGCCCAAGAAAACTGGAAGTAGTATTTGTTAAACATTGAAGACAAAAATATGAGATTTCATCTTTGAGTATATGATACTGTTGCCAATATTATGTATCATAAATATGAACTAAATAAAAATTTTGATATCCCCCAAAAGAAAAAGATGCTTGTAGGATACTTAAAATTATTCCTAATATCAATATTCACAACTAAATATATGATGAAAATAGTGAAAACTACAGTTTACTTAAGAAAAACATTTATTGTACATTTTACTGGAATACATGATTAGGTTAATGGAAATCACAGAACTTTTGAATACTGATAGCTTTAAAGGTGTACTATTTGATTTATTTTATTATTCCTTTTAGTTGACAAACCAAAAGTTGCATGTATTTGTGGTATAGATGGTGATACATTGGAACATGTATTCACTGCGGAATGGCTAAGTTCACCCCATTGACTCATGCATGGCCTTCATATACCAGTAATTACCTTTTTCTATGGTGAGAACACTTGAAATATCCTCAGTGATTCTCAAGTATAGAATACATTGTACCTAATATAGTTATCATACTGTACGAGTCTCTTCAACTTACTCTAATTGAAATTTTGTATACTTTGACCAACAGCTCCTGAGTTCTCCTCTCCTTTTGCTACTGCTAAGCAACTTCTGTGAATTCTACTTTTTTAGATTCCACATATCAGTAAGATAACATAGCATTTGTTTTTCTGTGCCTGGATTATTTCACTTAACATAATCCTTTCATCTTCATCCATGTTGCTGTAAATGACCAAATCCTGTTCCTTTTATGGCTGAATAATATTCCATTTGTATATATGCCACATTTTCTTTATGCAGTCAATTGTTGATAGACAGTTGATCTCAAATCTTAGTTTTTATGAATAATAAATGCACTATTTTACAACATTCCTCTTTTCCTCCTTAATAAATTCTAAATATATATAATTCTAAATTTAATATAGAAAATTCTTAACAAATGAGAATTAGTGGCCAATTTATGAAATGGTCTGACTTTTAAAAATATTTTTTTGTTCTTAACCTTATTTTTAGTAAGCTAAAAATAAGGGATTTTAATGGATAAATTTATAAATTCTTATTTTTTGTATTACTGTCTTATCTATCATAGTTTAATATATTCTTGTTCATAATGAATTAGAAACTAAATTTCCAGTGATACTACAATTTTCAGTTTTATGAATAAGAAGTTTTGGCACAACTCAGTAAATTGCCTATAATAATACAATAGATAAGAGAAGGTTCCAATAGGGTTTGAAATTAAGTCTGTCAGAGTCAGTGCCTGAGCTCTTGTAGTAACAACTCTTGCAAACAGTAAGCAGTTAACAAGTGAAAGGGGGCTGTCAACAGAGGCAGGCTGCTTGGTCACGGCAAAAATGAGGCTCAAATCTATGGAAAACCATGTAACTTTGTTAAGTGTCGGGTCAGCAGTCAGCACTAACTCTCCCATTCATTGGTGGAGGGCATTCTTCAGTGAGGGGTACTGTAGGTGCCCCAACTTTCTACTCTTAAAGGGATATAACGAGAGTGTGAAATGGTAGATAGAAGGCACAAGTAACAATGCTTAAGCCATCGTGTGAGCACAATAAACGTTGGCTACTCTTCAAATATTTATCAGTGGTCTGGTATATACTGTTAGTAGCACCAGGGTTATAACAGTGAGGCGTGATGATCATGGATTGATTTTTTACAGTCTCTGAGGGAACTAGCCTTACAAATATGGAGCATGTGCCAGATATCCTATGCGCTAGAGAAGGAAAGCTTGTGAAGAGAAGGATTTCCCTGCTACTGACAGGGCTCCAGATCACTTGGACAGACATCACCATGGCCATTTCTTGTTAGACAGGGACAGTATTCACTGAGAGAGATGGGCAGGGTGACTTGGTCTCAGTATTTCAGGCACAGAAGACCAAGTAAAGGTGGAGTCCCTAATGAGAGAGGGAAATCTAAGAACTAGGTAGAATATTAATGAGCAGAAGTAGGTAAAAAGTTAGAATCATCCAGGAGGGTGCCAGAATGGGTAGTCCCACTGAACATGACAAGAGCACTGACGAAGGAGGCTTTCAGCAACCCAGAACCCCACAGAACTCAAGACCTTCCCTAGGGCACAGCCTGTGGTTTTCTGAGAGTTGAGCCCTGTGGCTTAGCCTAATTATTCTCCTAAACTGGGTCATCACCCTGGGTTGCACAGCAAGCAGGAGCCTGGCAGGGAGGGCCTGGTAAACACTGGCATCAATCAGAAAAGGCCCTGGAAAGAATCTGGTTTCATGTAAATCCTGAGAACAATCAGATTCCCTTCTTGGCCTTGCCTTTAAATCTGTTAAAATTCTCAAATAACTTCACCAAGAGGGCAATTAAAAGTTGGTTAAAGGTGCCTCCCTCAGTCGCCAGATGTGCCAGGGAGATGAAGGCGTGGTAAAAGAATTCCTGGTCCACGCCAGCAGGGCCGCAGCACCTGCCCTTACGCCTGGATCATGAGCTCATATGGTCAGTGAACAGTGACAGGCTATCACTGTTAAGAAATGCACGCTTCACGGGCATTTTAGGGATTTCCATGGCCAGGAAAGAAAGCAAAACCTTCTGAGCCTACCCTGACATGTTTGCTAAGAGACACATGCAAGGCTGCCCTTGCCTGTAGGAGCCATGTGAAGTTATGCAAGCTTCACCCCCGGCCCCCCAGGAAGGCCCTGCAGTGAAAGAAGCAAAGCTCTTCCATGAGCACACACGTGTGGGTCTTGACATTAACAAAGGGTAAGAGAGCATTCCTGAGTGGTTTCCTTGTGAGACCTGGAATATGGCTTGATACAGCTTCCTCCCACTTCATTCTGCCATGAGGCTGAAAACATTTAAGAAACTTCTGACCTTTCATTTAAAAATAATCATTAACTCTTTCAGGTCATAAAAATACTACTTTAAAAAGCAGTTGATGAAGAAAATAGATCCCAGCTATTTGAAAGACTTTAACCTCTGCTAAAATACAAACAAAACAGAAATAAAAGTAGAATCAGGCTCCATGGCTCATTAATCTGTACATTTGCTCCCTGACCTGACTTGGTGCCACATATCTACAGACCAGTGGTACTCACAAAGAAATGAAGCATAGAAAGATTAAATGGATGATAAACCCCTCACTAGGTTTGCAGAATAGCTGGGAAAGCCTCATGATAGATTCTATCCAGAATTCAGTGCCCTTCTACATCAAGAATACAGAGCTCTCTTTCCATCTTCCGCTGCACCCAACCTCCCTCCTCGCCAGTGCATCCTCTCGTCTTAACAAAGTCCCTTTCTTCTTTGTCATATCTCCAAGCCAATTGTCCATACTCTTGTGCAAAGTGTAGGTCAGCCTAAAAAATGGGTTGATTTGGAGATAACAGTAGCATCCTTTCCCCTCTTAACCTGCTCCTCTTTGTACAGAAGAATTTCATAATTAGGTGTGAAAAGCATAAGTCCTTAGATCCAAGAATGTTTTCCTTTTGTTACATTATCTTATCATATATTAAGTACAGGTATAATAAAGATTAGTGAGAATGGGATTAACCAAATTGTGAAGGTTTAAAGAAAGAGGAATACGAATGAAGGTAGCCACGACTCAGTTTACCTAAAATCAAAAGAAATGAGTGGTGAGAGCCAGTGTTTGGGAAAGACGATCCAGTCTGTTCATGGATACTGGGTGCCCAGGGGTTCCTTCCAGGTTCTTTTTGTCCTGTTCAAAGAATTGTATAAGACAAGCAAACTGGGGAGGCTTTACATTTGTTAAAGGTGTGACAGGTAGAAAAGGCAGTAAAGGTAAGAGAGGCAGGGAAAGAAGCACTCTGAAAAGAAGTGCTCTGTAGAGGGAATGCAGGCTTGTCATGGAGGAAAGGAAGTCTGCCCTCGACAGTGCGGCCAGTGAAAGGCTCACACAGCCATGAGTTTAATGACCGCTGCCTTTTATAACCCCATTCCCATGTCAGATCTAGGCCATCCTATCAAAAACCTGCTTGATCTTATGACAGGAAGATGAAGACAGCGTTCTGCGATTGGTCAGGTACATGCAAATGTGGCCTCTTCCCCAATAACTATATATCTGGAGTTTGCTTTGCACAAAAGCTTTGACAAGCGAATTATAACCAAGATATAGATAAGAAAGCTGATATTTATTTCCATGAATCTC